CAACTTATGCAATTCTAAAAAGCATGAGTGAATTCAGAAAATTAAAATAAGAAAAAAAATAAATAAAAGTGTACAAAAGGGGCAAGTGTTCCAATGTCTTTGATATGAAAGTATCTTCGATAAGAACACGTCTCAGATTGCGTCCCTTATCAAGTGCTCAGTACCGTGCCTGAGAAACATGAATTCCAAGTGAGTGATAGACCGCATGATCGAGATTGCTCACACTTATAAAAATAAAAATAAATGCTAAAGCAAAGAGAGCTAAAAAAAAAATAGTAGAAACTCAAGCATGAAAATACAAAGATTCAGAAGCAAGGTTGCACACTTTGGGGGCTTGTCTAGGGTCTTGAGCCTTTATCCCCTTCTTCTATAACCTTTAGCCTAACTGTAGGCGTCGTTCGAAGTGCGCCTACGTTAAAAGCATGTGGTGAATATGCTTGGCACTCATAGGAAGTGGGAATTGACATTACGATTAGGGACAAATAAAGTAGGGAGCCGCCAACAAGTTTTTTAGGAACTTGTAAACCGTTCACGGATCATAAAAAGGCAACCATGAATAAAGGGACAACGATAGGCAACAACGATTGACCCGTGAAGGTTACACCCCATTCATAATCCATGAGATTACTAACTCCATATGGTTCGGAACCACGAAAGGAGGATCGGGGATGATGGTACGAAGTGAGTCATGGAGTCACATTCGCCCGTATTGGCCTCTACTCGATTCTTATATGGAAAAGCATTCCTGTGATCTCAAAGGCATACAAACAATAATTCAATTCGCTCCAAACTATTATTAGGCTAAATTGGTTGAATATTAATGCAACATATAATTCTAAAATATTTGTGATCACTTCAATTAATAACAAGATTAAAAAGGATCCTAAACCGGTTGTCCAAATTATCTTATTAGGCGTGTTTTTCAATTACATATTCCCTTTAACATGCAATATGGTGATCAAAATAAATAATAGAATCAATATAAAAACCAATTTAATCATAATTCCAACAACATAAAAATCGTTAGAAAAATAATAATAATAAAAAAAAGAGCATGATCCTTACTTTGAATCTGTTTGTTTGCAACTACAAAATAATAAACGAGTTAGTAACTTCAAAGAAATAATAAAACAACAACTAAATTAAATTAAATAAAATAAAGTTGATTTTGGGGCCAAACCCTCAAACGATTCTACCTTTCACGCCTTGGCTTAAGGACAGAACCTCGAGTAAAATATGGACTCCTTTGAATGCTTGAAGAAGGAATTTTGAAGTGAAAAGGGTAGGCTAGTGTTTAGGTTAAGAGCATAGAAGAGAGAAAAATAAGAATAATCGAATTCTCGTTGCCCCGTACATCAGAAATGAGGGGGTATTTATAGGGAAATGTGGTGAGGGAGCACACGAAACCCTAAAATGATAAAAACCCTAAAAAAGTATGCCGTGACACGGTCAGACTGTACCGTGACACGGTTAGACTGTACCGTCAGACGGTACAAGTTCCCGTGACACGGTCAGCTTTGGAGTGACACGGGAAATTTTCAGAAAACGGAACGGAAAACGCGTTAAGGGTTTACGCGTAAAGGACACGGAACTCTCCGTGTCACGGCAGACCTCCCGTGTCACGGGAAGTCCCACCGTCAGACGGGAAGAGTTTCCGTGACACGGTCAAGCTTGACCGTGACACGGTCAGTTCCAGTCCACTTTTCCGTCTAAATTCATTTTTAACCCTAATTTCTTTCGGCTTTTTAAGTGCCGATTGATAATTTCGGGCTTTTTTTTTCTGACTTTTATTATTTGGGCTAAAATAATAAAATATTTGGGCCAAAAATAATAAATAATAAAATAATAAAATAAAAAGGTTTGGGCTTAAAATTAATTAACAAGATTGGGCTAAAATTAAAACTATGCTTTTACCAAACACCAAGACTGATCATAGACCTTTCAAAAATATGAATTTAATAAAATACGATTTTTTAAGCACTCTCGGGATTAAATACTAAACCCGACCAATAGCGGCGATGAAAGGTTATTTATCATCGGGTTTGGTTTCGGGGAGACATTTTTAGGTGTCTACACTAACCGCGTTACAACCCTTAAAAGACCTTTTTGAGGTACACACACTTGTGCGATGTTCGACTAGAGCTACGTTCGGCCTGATTCCTAACGGATACGTAGGCAACCTCCTATCGAGGTGCGGCCGTAATAAACATGCATTCATATTCACATTCACACACTTGCACCATGAGCATATCAAGGAATCTCCAATGCTCATCCCTTTTCACTTAGAGCTAGACTTGGGGGCTTGGTCCTTACATCATTAGCTTACCTAGCCTAAGAGTCACCATTATTTGGCTCTTATAACAATATGTTTTTCCACACACTTAGCTCTTGTGGCCTAGCTTTAGTGTCACTATCACACACTGCACAGATACATGACCAAATATACTTCCCTTTAGGAACCCTTTGTCATGAAATATTAACACAACGTTGAAGCATGCCTTGTCACATCACTCATCACTCATAATGGTCATTGCATCACAAAGTATGAAGTGCTTATCCTCCGTGCCTAAGTTACCCAAATACTTTCATCATGGAGTCAACAGTAGAGATAGCCTAGGATGGACTAATCCTTGTACCTTGAGAGATAGTATCAAACAACATTTGACTAAGTTCATTCAACATGCATCTTCAAACTTTTGATTTTCTTTTTCACGTCTTTCTTTTTCGGGAGAAAGTCGGTACCCTCCACAAAGTTGACGGAAATTTTTTGCTTTTTTTGCATTCTTCGAGTCGCACGATCACATTACAATGCACACACGAGTCATGTACACATTGAGTCATGTCGTGCCATATCACTTTGATTTGAGTCTAACACATGTGTCATTACACTTCGAGTCGAGTCAACCTCAAGTCAGTCAAACATATCGAGTCAAGTTTATACCTTGAGTCGTGTCAAGTCGATGAGTCAAGCTACATTAAGCCTTAGGTCAACCCTAAGATAATTAAAGAAATTGGAAAAGTTCTATAGTAAAAAATAAATACAGGTGTAGCAGAACAGGGAAGACCCTATCACAGCGTTCGGTGACAGAATCAATTCTTGGCGCCAGAAATATCTCAACAACAACAGAGCTCGAAGCCTCTCAGAAAGGTGATTTCGACTTCATACAACAATTTTGGGTTCCTTGGTGCGCCAGTTAGCCCTTATAAGCAATTTGACATGATTAAGTAGTCAGTTTGATTACAATCACAATAAGGGGTCGACCTGATGAAAGATCGTCTCGCTTAGCTTAAAGCGCCTAAGATATGGCTCATCACGGAAACACCGGCATACTGGTTTTAGCGAAAGCAAAGTTCAGGCGAGCTTTAGAGATCGACAAACGTTGGTCTTCGGAAATTTTTCTTCAGAACATTATCGCGACAAACATTCAAGCACCGAAGCTCTTTTGTTCAGAGACGCATGGACATTTCTTTCAAGCTCTATTGCTCTAGAGACGCGTGGACATTTCAATCAAGCTCTTTTGTTCAGAGACGCGTGGACATTCCCTATTTTCAAGCTCTTTTGTTCAGAGACGCGTGGACATTCCCTATTTTCAAGCTCTTTTGTTCAGAGACGCGTGGACATTCCCTATTTTCAAGCTCTTTTGTTCAGAGACGCGTGGACATTTCCTATTTTCAAGATCTTTTGCTCAGAGACGCGTGGGCATCCTATTATTAAACTCTTCGTTCAGAGACGCGTGAACATATCCAAAAAAAGAAGAAGCTCTTTGTTCAGAGACGCGTGAACATGTCAAGAAGAAGCTCTTTGTTCAGAGATGCGTGAACATATAAAAAAGAAGCTCTTTGTTCAGGGACGAGTGAACATCGAAACAGCAAGGTGGAATTCCCTAGATTGTGGAGAGTTGTCACAAACAACTAAGGATTGTTTCAAGAGAAGCAATCTTCGACGGTGTTCCCTTGGATGTGGAATATTATCAAAGCGGAGGAGGATCGTTTCAGGCGAAGCAATCTTCCAAATTGGAAGCAGTTACGGGCGTAGCGGTTTTCAAGCGGGATGGCATTCTCTAGCTTGCAGGAGGTCATCAAAACAATCGGTTACTTTCAGAGACATGTGCTCGACGGTGTAAGATACGCGTTTCTTAACTCTTCTATCTGTTTAACTAACGCTAGTTTTGCAGGTATCGGCGTTACAAGATTGATTTAGGATCGCAGAACGTTCTGAATCATTCTCCGTCCCTATCGATACTTTGACTTTTGTTTTCGAAACTTGCGTTTCTCCAAACTCAGTCAAAGTGGGGGCTTCTGTAGACACCCATTTGTGTCTCCCTAAAACCAAACCCAGTGATGAGTAACTTTCGCGTCGAATCATAATCGAATGAAACAAAAGTGTGGAAAGGTCTAGTGTTGCGGAAAGTTTTAATTTCTTTTCTCTTCTCTCTGTTTTTAAAACTTTATTTTAAGAAAACAGCCAATCCAGTTTGGTTGGTCCATGATATGGGTCAAATAGTAGTGTAGTTGGATGGGGCTTGCAAAGACCTTTCCAACGATATATTATAAGCCCAATTCCGATAAATATTGAGGAAGTTATGGCCAATTTACTAAACTGGGCCTGGTTTGAGCTTTATGTGCGGCCCAATGATCACTACTACAAATCCCTTAGTTTCTAGACGCAGTTGGCTCGACGCAGTGGGGTGGGCGTCAGCTGAAAAATTTGATCCCGCTTTTTCTCGACGCTTTTTAGCATCGAACGGTTTTCTAGACAGCAAAAAGCGTCGAGAAAAAGTCACGTGTATATCATTCTGCATTCCTCGACGCTTTTTGTTGTCTAGACTACAAATAGACGTAAAAAAGCGTCGAGAAATTGGCACATGTTTTGCACGTGGTAACATATATCGCTTTTCGTCGACGGTTTTTCGGGTCAACTAGCGCCCTTAAAAATAATTTTATACGAGCCGTGCCTTATTATTTTAGCCCGGGGCTTTTAAATTTTGTGAAAAATTAGGCGGTGCTTTTAAAAAAAAAAATCAAAATTACCAATGCAAATTAAATTAAAATATTAAAAATATATTGTGAACTAGTTTCCTTAATTCCAAATAAAAAGAACATCGATCAGTTTCATTACTCAGCTCCATCAAGAACGACCACGCTGCTACTTTCTCTCGTCTGGTGTCGTTCTTCAACTGCAGCAGTGATAAGGTAATGTAAAACCTAATTAAGTCTTTCTATAGATCACTCTCGCACTCATGAATTCTATCAATTCTTCATTATTTTGTAATTTGCAAATTTCTTAACAAATTAGGGTTTGAAGTTGTGAGAAGTTCTTGCTGTCAATTTCATCAATTTAGAGTAATCTTCTTCCCTTTCTTTATACTCGATTTTCGTTGTTATACCTTAAATTTTAATTTTTTTCTTCAATTTTCAATGAAATTGGGAATTGTTGTCCTAAGTGAAAACGAAAGTGAAGGGATCGAATTACGTTCGTATTGGAGCAGCTACAATAAAGACGCAGGACAAAGGGAATCCAAGCTTCAAACAGGTGAGTAGTATATTTTTGTTTTCTTATTTGATGTCGTGAATTATGTTGATGTTATGTTGCTTGCGTGCTATTGTTGTTCTATTGGCTAGCTAGAGTCGTTTGTTGTTGTTTTGTATTTTGGGAAATAATATGTGTTGATTCACTTGAATTTTTCTATGAGTATGTCTCTGTTACTATGTGTTCTTTCTTTTATGTTTGCTGATTTTTTAAAGTCAATTATATTAGTTCTTAGCTTAATGTGCTTACTATCTTAATGGATTGTAATTTTGTAGTTGTTATTGAAATTATGTAATGATTTTCTAGGCGAGGCAGGGAATTCGGGTTGGATGTTCTGCTTATGATATGTTGTTAGATGATTGGTATGTTTTAGGGATACTTTTGGAAGTCTGATGCATTGTTGGTTGTTCTGCTGGAATTTAGTCTGTTGGTGTTAGTTATGCTTTGGTCCGAAGATACAATTGAAGACTGCCTCACACCAGTTTGTATGATCCTTGTTGTTTTTTGTTTCGTACTTGTGAAGTGTGGTTTGATTTGTGGCAATGTGCTTCTGTTTGTTTTATGTATTGGGAGATGATGTTCTTCTGTTGGTGTTGTTCTTTCTTTTGCGTTTGCTGAATTTTTTTAAGTCAATTATATTGGTAAACTAAATTTCTCCATAGTTCTTAGCTTGATTATATTGATAAACGGAGGATAGGTATTGTTGTTTAGTCAATTATAGAAACAGTTCCTTCCTGTGAACTAACTATTTTTGTCAGATTATACACTTTACCAAAAGAATACTTTATTCGAACAATAATAATAAAATGATCCATAATCTGGAATTATTTATATACCTGCAATTTAATGGTGAAATATTGTATAAAGCTAGATGTCAATGTCATTTTCTAAAGGAATAAAATCAAGACTTATGTGGGAAATTGGGTATTAGGACACGTTGAGTATCTGTAAATGCAAATCTCATTGTTTACATCAATTGCATGGTATTATCACTACTTGTGTCAGATTATTTATTTGGACTATCTATATTGCTAGCTAGCTTTTCATATTCATAATCTTCTTCTTCTTCTTACATATTACTATATAAGACGGCAACCAATTTAATAATGCTAACACTATTAGTTAATAATGCTAACACTATCTATAATTATTTATTAATAATATTTTGTATAATAAATATTGATTAATAATTATTCATTTTTTTTGTAGACATGGATAATAGTTGGATAGATTTACCTAAAGATGATCCTAACTATTATAAAGGTTGCATGAAATTCTTAGACCTTGCTAAAGAGACTATTTCACAAAATACATTGTTAACTCGTTGCCCATGTAACAAGTGCAAGTTAAGTAAATGGTTTTCGGTAGATGAAGTTGGAGGCCATATTCTATTTAATGGATTTTATAAAAATTATAAAAATTAGGTATTTCATGTTAGAGATAAAGGGAGTACAACCTCTAGTATAAGTAATAGTCAAGAAAAGATCGTGGGTCGAGATGATATGGACGGGTTACTTAGAGCAGCTTTTAGAGTTAATGATCCACAACCCACTCAAGAACCCCATAATCAATCATTATCTGAACCTAGTATCGAGGATGTCGATTTGTGTGGCATGGATGAGGGGTTAGATCATAACACTCAATCACCTTTCACAGGTGAAGAACATGTAAAGTATAATAAACTCATGGAAGCTTCTGGAGAAGGCTTATATGAGGGTTGTACTACCTTTTCAAAGCTTTCATTTCTATTGCACTTGTTTCATTGGTCTGCCGAGTCATTTAATAAATTACTTGAACTTCTATTAGACGCATTTCCTATCATTAAGGAGTTTCCATCGTCTTATATGAAGGCATGAAAGTAATCAATGATTTGGGATTGGGATATGAGAAAATCCATGCATGTCCAAATGACTGCATGCTATATTGGGGTGAATTTTCAGAAAAAAGTGAGTGTCATATATGCCATGCATCAAGGTGGAAAATTGTGAAAGGAAAGGAGGGTGATGTAAGTGAGAAAGGTAAAGAAACATGTAAGAAAGGTGAGCCGGCTAAAGTAATGCGGTATTTTCCCCTCATCCCTAGATTAAAGAGACTGTACATGTCTTCAAAAATAGCAGAGGACATGAGATGTCATTATAAACATGAAGATGATGGCATTCTACGGCATCCTGCGGATGGAGAGGCTTGGAAGAAATTTGATGAAAAATATTTAGAGTTTGCCGCTGATCCTCGTAGTGTTAGATTGGGCCTTGCTAGTGACGGTTTTAATCCATATCGTCTAATGAATACCAACTATAGTACGTGGCCAGTGGTCCTTATTCCATATAATTTACCGCCATGGCTTTGCATGAAGTCGTCATCATTCATTCTATCTACTATTATTCCTGGTAAATCCGGTCCTGGTATGGATATTGACGTGTACTTGCAACCATTGATTCATGAGTTTAAATTGTTGTGGCTAGGTGTTGATGCCTTTGATTCTTATAGTGGAAAGAACTTTAAATTGCGAGCAGCCTTACACTCCACTATTAATGACTTCTCGGCATATGCTATGTTGTCGGGTTGGAGTACAAGAGGCTACAAAGCTTGTCCATCTTGCACTGATTCCACGTATTCATATAGATTTGGCGGTAAACTTGTGTACCCCGGGCATCAAAAATGGTTGCCAATTGATCACCCGTATCGTTCGCAAGCTAATTCATTCGACGGGAATGAGGAATATGGTCTTGCTCCGGTTCCTGCAAGCGGTACTGAAGTTTTGAAGCAACAAGATAAGGTAAAGTATGTTTATGGGAAATCCAAAAATGTTCCAAAAAAAAGAGGGAGAAAGAATGCTGCTGCGCTGATGATGATGACGCCGACTTAGTTCTTTGGAAAAAGAAAAGTACATTTTTTGAGTTAGAGTACTGGGAGCATAATCCTCTTAGGCATAATTTAGATGTTATGCACATTGAAAAAATGTGTGTGATATTTTATTAGGAACTCTTTTAGGTATGGAAAACAGTAGAGATGATAGAAGTGCTCGAGAAGCCCTTGAGGGTAAAAATATAAAGTCTCATCTTTGGATTGACCCTAAAGGTGACATCCCTCCAGCCCCTTACACCATGTCTAATGAGGAGAAGGAACGATTTTTAAAAGTTTTAAAGAAGCTTAAAGTTCCTGATGGATATGGATCTAATTTGCAAAGATGTGTGAACTTGAAGCAGCGAAAACTTATTAATATGAAAAGCCACGATAATCATATCCTCATGCAAGATATCCTTCCTGTCGCTTTAAGGGCGTCGAATGCCACAAAAGTTATTGACTTGCTTGAGGAGTTGTCAGATTTTTTTAAAAAGATATGTTCAACCACTATAGATACAAGAGAATTAGATGCCATTCAGTCAAAGCTTGTGCTGACTCTTTGTAAGATGGAGATAGAGTTTTTACCTACATTTTTTACAATCATGGTTCATCTAATTATTCATTTAGTGGATGAGGTTAGACTTGGCGGACCAGTTCATTACAGATGGATGTATCCCATTGAAAGGTTTGTGTTTAAATACTTTTTTTTTTCTTTTGTTATTATAGATAAAAATTCATTCCAATATTTTCCAAATTCTTTCACATTCACACACATAATCACTTTTTTTTATTTCAAGGTACTTGGCGTTTTTGAAATCTCATGTAAGCAATAAAGCGCAATCGGAGGGATCTATAGCAGAGGGGTATCTTTTATGGGAGACAATTGCATTTTGTTCGAGATATTTAGAAAGTGTTGAGACCATATTTAATAGACCAAGAAGGAATGAAGATGGCGTGCCCGACGATGAGAACTATCTGGTGGTCGTGTTGTTGGAAAGAAAGAAAATGTTCATTTGGATGATAGAAGTTTAAAACAAGCACATCGCTATGTTTTACTTCATTCTGATGAAGTGACACCGGTGCTTGAGTAAGTAGCATTATAGGTTTTTTTTTTTCTCTTCGTTATTAATTTGACATTTTGAATTTTCTATAGTGAGTTCATAACACTAAAACGACAAAGGAATGAAGTTGGTGGAAGCCAAGCAAATGAATCCATTGAAAATCAATGGATAATTAATGAATTTCCTGATTGGTTATTAAGCCAGGTTATATGCTTCAAAATTAGGAATTTCATTTTTCTTTATCTTTTTTTTAATACACCAATCTTAGATTAACTTTGTTCATATTGAATTATAGGTCAATAATCTAAATGATAGCACGGTAGAAGGAAAGTTAAGAAAAGCCTTAGCTCGTGGCTTGAGTAACCGTGTGAGAAGGATGAAAAATCTTTTTATTAATGGCTATAAATTTGATATTACCGATTGTGAGAAATTTCGAACAACTCAAAATTCTGGAATCATGGTGGAAGCGGAGGGTCAACAGTATTATGGAAAACTGAAAGATATATTTGAATTAGATTATTACGGTTTTTGTAAAGTTGTAATGTTTCGTTGTGATTGGGTAGATATACATAGGGGTATCAAAACATACCCGAGCGGAAGTGTTCGTGTCAATTTCTCAAAGTTGATGCACACCGGTCGAAATTTGCATGATGATCCATTTGTTTTCTCATCTCAAGCAAAACAAGTTTTTTACGTCGAGGACGAGATACAAAAAGGATGGTTTCATGTTGTTAAGACTAAGCCTAGGGACTTGTTTGATATACTTGAATAATTAGCTACTTTTAGATCTTTTTTATACTATGTTTGTTATTTGATATGACTTGTTGCCAATTTAGTCAGCTTAACAGAAGATTGTTTTTTTTTCTATATTCTTATGTTATTATATTATATTCGTATATTTAATATTTGGTATGCTTGAGATGAGAAAACAAATGGATCATCATGCGAATAATTGCGCTGTTCTTCTGCTATTTTCTGCCGTTGCTGCTGTTTAGTACTGTAGTTGCTGTTCTTGTGCTGTTTTCTGTCGTTGGTGCTCTATAATTGCTGTTGCGTTTGCTTTCTGCTGCTGGTTGCTTACTTGCTGCTATTATTTGCTTTGAATTTTTTTTTTTCTCAATCATATTAATCTGGCTTCTGTTTCATATTTTCATTATTAATGTTATTCTCTTCACTTAGTTGTTGTCTTGCAAGTTTAACATGATCTTTTTGTATCATTTATCTTGTAGTGTTAGAAAAGATGACTTATCGAAGTAAGAGGGCAAGGGACATACTTGCGGCTGCAACTAAGGGATGAGATACTCTGTCGTCACAGCCTCCAAATACAACTATTGCAGACCAATCTTCTGGAAGTGAAGCTGCCTCACAACCCACCAAAAAGCAAGCTGTTGGTTCATTAAAATTTGATGAGGTGCAGAATGAGAAATGGGGGCCATTTGGTCCACCGAAAACCACTACTTCTGCACAATCACCTTCTATCAATCCCGAATCTATTTGGAAGAAACCTCCTACTACACCAACACCAAGTTTAATTATGGAAGCTGCTAAAGACAAACAAGGTTGCTCGCAAAAAACTACACCCAAACTTACTGCTATAGTCTCACCTAATATGCCACCTAACATGCCACCTATTGCACCTGAACCATTCAGGCACCCTTCTACTTCTTCTCCTGCTACTCACCAACCATTCAGGCCCCTTCTACTTCCTCTCCTGCTACTCACCAACCATTTAGGCACCCTTCTACTTCCTCTCCTGCTACTCACCAACAATTTGACCTCCATCAACCTTCGAAACAAGGAATTCAGAACCAAGCTTCAAGTGCTGCCAAAAGTTCAAATGCAGCTCCACATAATAAGAATCAAACACAACAAAACATTGGTGAAGCTTCAAAAGAGGTCCCGAAAATTCCAAGTCTCTACGGCGTAAGTTACTTCCAGATTGGCGTGAAGACATTGAGTTCGATGACAAGGAGGAGGTTTTGACCATAGGTAATTTATCTTAATTAAATCTTCCGTTTGTAGTTTTCAATATTATGTCTTGTGAATATATAATTCTGAATTTTAGGCTAATGTTCAATTGCTGTTTCTTTTTGGTCGCCTCTTCAATTGATCTACAGCTTTTTAAGATTTTTATTTGTCATCTTGGTTGTACTCAAAGTGACCGAGTTAGGCTAGATAGTTTGTTCAGCATTATGCCATATGGACTTAATTTTAGGTTTTTGAAGTTGGCTGGTATTGTTTGTAGAATTTGCTGCTTCAGTGGTATTCTTTTTCTTGCTATTTGATGTTTTATTGAAGATAAAATTTAGTTGGTTGTTTGACTTGTATTTGACTTGGCAGTCTTATAATATATTTTGTGCTGTTTTATAGAATTATATTCTGATGTTATGTATTCTGATGCTTATCATGAATAAAAAGGCTTATATTGTTGTTCTGTTTTTTGGCCGTTACAAAGCTGTATGTGAGGTGATGTTTTTGGTATGTCCAGCCCTAATATATGGGTTTTTTGGACACCAGCACTTAGTTTTAAGTGCCTTGTGTCTTGAATGGATGAATCTCCCGATGTTCATAATTTATTTTGTAAGGTAATTTAGTATACTGATTGACCTTTGCTATCCAGACGATGAGATTTTGTGAAGATCCTAGTGATTATAGAATGTTTTGGACCATTAGTTATTGCTGCTGTCAATTGTTGCCCTGGTCATTGGAATAATGATTCTCATATATTTTCTTAGTTGACTTCTACCATATCATGTGCTACTCTATTCCCTCCTTGCTTGACAAAAGACCAAATCATATCTTTTCTTAGTTGACTTCAACCAAATCATGATTATGTTGCTGATTTCTATCTTTGATAGTTTTACTGATTTATTGAGATGATATAATCTTATGATGTTGCCTCTGTTTTCTGTTAATTACCTTACATGGTATAGATGACAAGGGTAATACTACATTGGTGAGTGGTGTAATTCATCCAGTTGACGTTTTGAGTGCTAAAGGCTTCAAGTACGTTGTGGAATTCAATGATCTTTGCCAACCGATTAGGAAAGGTGGACATGTTTTGATTAAATTTATTGGTTATTTGGCAAAGATGGAGTCCCATTGTCCACTTGGACCAACAGATTGGAAAAAAATCGACGGGACTATAAAAGGGAATGTAGTTACAAATATGCGAGTACGTACAATTTTCCCCCACTCAAATTTCTTTTCTTTTCTTTCTATGGCGTACTATATACTTCACTATATTTCAGTGTGTTACACTAATTTTTTTTTTAAAGGACCACTTTGTGATTCCCGATGGTAAAGAATACGACAAACAAGCTTTGCAACGTGCCAATAAAGCATGGAGACAATATAAGTTTGAATTGAAAAAGCCATATTTCAAGCCAAAAGAAAAAACAATGGGTGAGATGAAAACACAACCACCAGCAGGAATTAGCCCCCTGAATTGGACAGTGTTGGTAGATTATTGGTATTCTGATAAAGCACAAGTAAGAACAATTAGTTTCATCATGTTTCTTGGAAGGATTTGTTGGAAATATTCCTTTATTTTAATTATTATTTGAATAAGTTGGAAATGAGGTTAGGGTATGTTGCTAAATCCGAAGTGTATTATAAGTTTCTTAATAGTTTATGAGTTATGAATGAGTCTAATGACTTTCTCCAAGCCTGAGCAGATAGTGATATCATTTCTAGATAGGATTTTTAGTCCGCTACGTTAATAAGGAATTATTTTTTACAGTGCTCAGACCATCAGGCTTATGTGGTCGACTATCTAATTTAATTTTTTTAGTGTCATCTTATCTGATGCTTGTTTGTTGTCGACAACATAAGCCTGAGTTTCTGTTTATATGTAAGTGAATTCTTATTCAAGCTTTTAACTTCCTAACAAACTATCTAGAAATTATTCTATAGGTTCAGGGGCTGTTTGGTTTTAGGCTAAGGGTAAGGGAATGGTTGGCAATTTTTATAGGATATTTGTTACGCATGTTATACCTAATTTGTTCTTGCTTACGCTTAATTAATGCAGAGTTTGGCAGAATGTGGAAAAAGGGCACGATCTTTCCTTAATCAGTATCACAGATGTGGCAGCAATAGCTATGCAAATCAACAAGCTGATTATGTACGGCTTATATACATATATGTTATTGTTATGTTTTGTCTTCATTCATTGTGCTTCTTGTTGATATTGCTATATCTCTTTAATACCCTTTGCATTTGCATTTTCAATTCATAGGAAGACGAACATGGAGAACCAATGAGCTTATTAGCTCTTTGGATTAAATCTCACTCGGGTAAAGATGGAAGCTTTCTCCCTGGCACAGACACTGAAGATTTTGTGGTACAATCTGATGTCATATTTTTTTTAGTTTATAAATTTTATAAAATGATGATGACTAATTGCATAATCCCTATTATTTTGTGTAGGATGATGTAAAAGCTAAGGTTGAGCAGCTTAGGTTGATGTACCCTACGAAGTCACAGACAGAGCTAGAAAATGAAGCTTTTGAGAAAACGATATATAGCGATGAGATTCCCGATCGTCCTGTGGGTTCTGGACAAGGGGTAAACAAGGGTGATATCTACGGAGTGCATGGTGTGTTAAGGAAAGAAGGGTACGGAAAATTCCAAAGAAGAGTTAATTTAATGGATAATGTTAAAGAAGATGTGGCTACTTTGTACAAAAAGAATGAGGTGCTTGAAAAAGAAAATGAAAAGCTCAAAGACCAAGTCCAAGAGAATAATTTTTTGCTGAAATATCTTGTTGGACACTTTTCTCAAATTGTAGGTAAAGTTAGTGAGGGTAACACTGATCCACATATGCTAAGACTTGCACAAGAAGTATTGGGTATGACACACCATCAGGTACATCATTTTGTTTCTTAGGTACTGAACTTTTTTACATTATGTTACATATAATTTAATTTTCCCTAATTATAAGAGTAAGTGTGAGGGAATTGATGTTTTGGTAATTTAATTCCTGGTGTTTGTATGTTTGATGGGATCAACAATTGGTACTTTGCCATTATATTTTTTTTATGTCCTATGGGTAAAATCAATTTTGCGTTGTTGGGGTGTGGATTTTGTTGATAATAGGAGATGCCGGCAGTCTTGAATGCTGGTTCATTTGGATGATTTTCCCCTGTTTCCTCTGTTATTGTTGGGGAACTCAAACTCTCAATTGTTTGTGCTAGTATGAGGGGTTTAATGGCTGCTACTACCTGTCCTTCTGCTACAGTAGCTCTCTTTAGGGCCGAATCTCAGCCACTGGTTTGTATGTGGCTACTAAAACTGAAGGTGGGCTTTGGTGGCTGTCAAGTGGTTCAACTAGTTTTGGGGGGTCTGAGAATATGGTGCCTTTGGTGCAGGACAAGTTCATATGCTACTTAGTCACTTTATCTTATTAAATTAAATGCAGTTAAACTTCGTATTTATACTATATAATAATTTATTGATTTATATTTTCTAATTTTTGTTGTAATTTTCACATATGAAGGTTGGAAGAGGTACGATGAAGGGGCTAAAGCAGAAGGACAATGATAAAATGAGTTAGATTGTGGAGGCAAGTAGACTTGACAGCTAGCCTAATTCGGTTTGGTGCGACGACTCTATGATGTTAATTATTCTTAGTATATATTTGTTCTTATTTGGAGACACTAGTATTAGTAGCAAACAAGGTTTCTAATAGTAATTATGTTAATATTTTGGATCATTTTAGAATGATGTTAAAAATATGTTGGTTTAAATTTTTAATATATGTATTGAATTTTATTTATATATATATATATATATATATATATATATATGTAATTTTAGGTCTAAATTAGATTGGAAAATATTTTTTTTTTTTGTAAAAAGGTACGAATAATCTCGATGCATATCCATGTTGAAAAATGTTAATTTAACTAAAATATGGACATGAAAAAGCGTCTCCACTTTTTTAGATTGTAGACATCAAAAAACGTCGACAACATTGAAAACATGAAAATAAAAATTAAATAAATTAGAAATTGTGGTCACAAAAAGCGTCGAAAATATAAGATATTGGAGACACAAAAAAGCGTCGACAATATCAGATATTGGAGGCACAAAAAAGCGTCGGGAAATTCTTTCATACGGCGCGAAATACAGAAAATTTAGACGCTCCGTATAAATATTAGGACGCAAAAAAGCGTCTAGATCTCGACGCGTTTTTACGTCTTCATAAAATTCTCGACATCAAATTTCTCGACGCTTTTTGAAAGCGTCGAGAAATAAATTCTCGACGCTTTTAAACGTCGAGAAAAGCCTTAATAAGCGTCGAAAAAGGCGGGATTTCTAGTAGTGGATCTTGGGGAGGGCCTAATGTGATTTATCATTCCTAATGCAATTAGGAATGGTTTTAGTTTTCTAGAAGGTTCTTTTCATTCCTAATTCAATTAGCATTGATAAATTGACTTTGTTGACTTTTCAGAGTTTTAATCAAAATAAAATAGCATTTTCGAAGAAATTATATTATTTTATCCTCCAGTACGGGAAATTTATCTGATTTTCGAAAACGCGTTGAAATCCAGTTTGGCGTCCAACCCCAAGAATTGGCGCCTGGAACCAGGCTTGGCGCCAGCTAGCCAAGGTTGTCGCCAACCTCGTTTTGCGTGCGTCAGACTCTGTTTTGTTAAATTATCTTTTTTGGCTAATTTTCTCTATAAATATCGTATCAAAAACTCCGTTTTCATTTATCATCTACATCTATCATTCATCAATTCTCCTCATTCACAAGTTTTAATTAGCATTCTCTTCCATTCATCTTTCTTTCAATTCTTTCTTTGTTTTCATATAAAATTCCGCATTCACAAGATCAAGAAACACCTAGCCATATTCGAAGTTGCCTTCGCCCTTAGACGTGAAAGGTTTAATTTCTGAGGATTTGGTCCCAAATCTCTCTTTCAATTATTTAATTTAATTGTTTTGATTATTATTTTCCTTGAAGTTACTAACGTGTGTATTTTGTTATTAGAAAGAGGTACGAGGCATCAAAGTAAGTGCTTTAATGGTTTTAATTGATATTATGATGTAGAAATCATGTTTATATTGTTATTATGATATTCCTAGTATCATGTCTAGGGTAATTTTAATATTAAATATGATTGTTGTGATGCTTCCTATGCTCTTCCTAATATTTATGATTGTTAGTATCATGTTAGGGTTAAAGATTTGATTTTTATTGCTTAGTGACATACTAGGGTTTGTTATTAATCTTGTTAGTATCATGCCTAGGATCTTGCTATTTTTATTATGCTTTAATATTAACATGAACATGATTATGATTATAATTGTTATAATTTATGATTATTATTATTTTGATGATGATTATTTTATTTATGATTATTATTATTATTATGATATGATTATTATTATTCTTCATGATTATTATTGATTATGTTGCTTGATACATTATTTATTCTTTATTGCTTGATTACACCTTTTATTGAATGCTTAAAGGGAATTTGGTACTTGTAATCACGCTTAATGAGATAATTAATAATCTTGTTTAGGGTTAATGTGATTATAAATTCAAGTGATCGCCAATAATAGTTTATTTGTGCATTATATTCAACCAACATAGATAAACAGGTTTAGGGTTAATCCTATTGATTGCATGTTAATTAAAAAGCGCACATGAATATGATCAGAATAAAGTAGAGGTCTATTATTAGGGTAGGTTCAATCTCTTTTAGGTTGGATTTGTACCTTCATCCCCGGACCCTTATTTGGTTCATGACCTTATGGAGTTGACGATCTCTTGGATCGTTAAGGGGTGTAACCTTCATCCTATGAACGGTTTACAAGTTCCTTAAAAACTTGTTGGCGACTCTTTTGCTCTATCTTCTTCCCTTTTGGACGTCACCGTACTTTAGTGTATGATCACAGTGGCGTTCGAGCTAGTGGGATTCTAAAGGCTTGAAATTATTCCCTACAAGTTGTATTAAGGCATTTTCAGCATATACTAAACCCAAGTCATCTGCCAAAGTCACACATATTATTATTATTGCATTGCATGTCCTTTGCAGTTTGCATGACACATATATGATCGATGAGCTAATTAGCTACACTCTACATCTGAATTAATTGTTACGTTACTATCGGCAATAAAAATTTAAACGAGTATTGAGACAACAATAAAAATTTAAACGAGTAATGAGACAACTATATACTGTCCTTGGCGGGGGATTGAATAATTATTTTTATTTGTTAGTCAATTGCATGTAATTTCACACACTTTACATTGTTTTTTCAATGGCTAGCTAGCATTGTAGTGAGATTCATAATCTTTTACTAGACAAATAATCCACATTAAAACTGTAGAAGGAGAATGACTAACATATAAGATTGATGAATAATTTTATCAATCACCTATATATTAATCAATGTGAGCTTGTCTATAATATGACCCGAACATATATTCAAGCAAAATGACTAATAACATATATACTTCCTCCGTTTCTTTATAGTTGCAACATTTTTTCCCTAAATGGAAATGTCATAATAGTTGCAACACACTATAATTGAAAAGTATTTTATGTAAAAAGTTGTACTATCACCCTTATTATAATCTCATGACCCACTAAATTATACTCTATCTTAACAATCTCTCTCCTCCTTTTAAAGTGTTTTAAGTCACGCCAGACCTACTTTTTCTTAAATACTGTAAAAAAGGATCTATTGCAAGTATTAAAAAATAGAGGAAGTATATGTTTGATAAATGAGGTGCACAAATGGTGAGTTGTTTTTTTTTTTTTTTTCACTAAAGGCTAAGAAATTGAAACTAGTGACACAAAGTCACAAAGCAACTATATAAATATACAAAGTTGCATTGATTTGATTCCCAAGTATATGTGTAAAAAAAAAAAAAAAAAAAAAACCTCTTTAAATTGGGATGTGAATGTATAATTAACACAAAACAGGTTGGTTACTGGCAAAAAGCCAAAAAGCATGAGGCCTAACTTCTTAAACACTTTTGACAGGAAAAATTAAGGATATCAATATCTGTTAAAGCCAAATCTTTTGACTGAGATTTGATTCAATTTGTCCTTAATAAAGTTTAAGATTCATGGGAAAAAAGGTATTGAAAGTACAGTACCAAATCAATTGCCTTCAAAAGCCATATTTCATCACAGAAAACTTAGCTCACACAAATTTCATATTATGATTATATATATGTATGATGATTACAAAATTTTTATGTGTATATAAACTATAAAGGAAATTGAACATTAAGAATGATCATTATTATGTTACTCCAATCAATATAACATAATCAAAGTTCTAATGAACAATGTAAACACACTTTATACTGATGACAGTTTCAAGTGATAACACTTATCTATATATCAAATTAATAGTCCTATAAAATTGAAACCAATGACTACAAAAAGGTATAAATTATTTATAAATCACAAATTATGTATTTACATAAATTAAAGTTTGATTAAATCAATTTGAAAAATTAGACACGATACAATTATTAGTATGTAATAAAATGACTTTAAGTTCTACTCCATAATTTTTATTGAAGAATCTTGCTTAGGTGGAGCTTGTGGAAGGTAGTTATTGGAATCTTGCTCAATTCAGTCAATCGGGCCTGTTTTGATTGACACTGAGCTGAACTGAACTGAACCGAATTGAATTTATTGGAGTTGAACTGAACTGAACTGAATATTTTATGAGAGAAGGAAATTATGATAAGAACTAAACCGAACTGAATATTTTATGAGAGAAGAAAATTATGATAAGAACTGAACTGAACTGAAAATAATCTGAAGAGAACAGACCCATTTAGCTAGTAGGTCACCTGATAGTCACGTGACCGTCATTCCATATACAAAATCAAGTTACCAATAAAAGTAACGGCGCATTATCTTTTCCTTCTCTCATTAGATACCAATCCATTATGTTTCCTCCGATAATATTAATTGCATCAATTTAAAGTTTGTACACCCTAGAGAAAAACGCGCAAGATTCTTATATCTAGTATTGATTTTAAGAAGCCTCAGGCAAACAAAAGTGTGACATCCAACCATTGGATACATCTAACTCTAGGCATATATTTTCATGTACTACAAAATGGACTTGATTCGTAAAAATTATTGGTTATATTGGCCTTATTGCGCTTGAGCTTCTAGAAAATAGCATAATTATTAAAGGGTCATCATCTTTTTTATTAGTATGGCAATGATGATAAAAGCTACATCATGATGAAATGTGTCCTCACTCCTTTATAATTTCTTAATAATTTATACTAGGAGTAATATACTTGGATTATTTATTAGCTCTAGATTGAATAATTAATCTTGTCAAAATACAAAGATTACACTTAATGATGAATGTCTATTGAAGTTTTGGACCTATAGTTTAATTTGTTTACAAAGAAATTACAAAATGAAATATATATATAGCATTACAAGAATGATAAATAATACTTAATGTCCAACAATAAATCATGAATCAAAGGAGCATATAACATTTGCTTCATGCCATCTCATTCGGTTCATACGTATACATATACATGCTCCAAAAAAGGGAGGTCCAAAAAATTACAAGTATAAATAATTTTACAAAGTATAAATGACAAAAGTCATCAAACAATCATACTAATAACCGAAAAAAAAATTCATAGCAATATTAGCAAACAAGTAGTTAACAATTTGCCATGCAAAGTGAGGAAATTAAATCTAATCAATTCATAACAAAACATACACGGTGTACATGAAGATGG